TGCACGTGGGGACAGAGTGAAGAACCAGGAGCTGTGGGAGGCAGGCTTTGTAGTAGCAGGAGGCTGTGATTGGCGTGTCTGAGTGATTCCACGGGCTGGCAGGGAACTAAACCCTCTACTCGGGGCTAAGCGGGAACTGCTGGCTGCTCCATAAAGCAGTGCCTGGTTTCCTTGAGAAGGAGGCTTGTTTGGCTAGGGGACCTTGGTGGGGAAGGGGGACCTTGGGAAGGGGGACTTGGGGCTGGGGCAGTCAAGGCCCTCCTGATTTTATCAGATGTCAAGGCAGCAAATGACACTGAACCTTAATCTTAGCCCTTGCACCACGGATCGGTGTGCTACAAATATCTTCCTTCATTTTATGGCTCACCTTTCCCCTCTCTTTAGGGTGTTTTGATGAACAGAGATATTGTTTCTTTATAGTGGGTACTTTTTATATTTATTTAAATCTTCACCACTCCAGGGTTGAAACTCTTCTCCTACTGTCTCCCGAAGCTTTACTCTCTGGCCATCAGTTTGATTCTGAATCTAAACGAGTCTAAGCATATCAAACAAGCCTCCAACTTCCTGGTCCTTTAGGGAGACCAAGGCCCTGACGACTTCCCTGAGCCCGTTTTTCCTCCTTCTCAAGGTGAGGTTTCTCCAGAGCTTCTCCCGGTCGCCCCTTCTAACTGTGGCCATCACAGATCTCCAGCCAGAACAGCCGGGGCCCCTCGGGGGCTTTCCAGGTCTGCGTGTCTACCCAGCCCAGCCATACAGCCTCCCTGTGCTTCTCGTACTCCCTTAATTTTGCTGGGTGCAATTGACTTGGTGCTACAGAGTCACGGGAGAGAGGAAGCTGCTTTCCTGTGTCCCGCAGCAGCTTTAGATCATCCCAGGCTCTCAAGCTTCCTCAAAGGGAAACATGGCAGAGGTGCAATTTGGAATTTAGGACAGGTGTTCACAGTGAAGAACAGGGCCAGCTCCTTGACAAAGCAGCTGAGGGCATGCCAGTAAGTTGGGAGAGAACCCCTGCCTCCAACAGGTGAGTGATGTTCCTGATAATGTGACTCAGCCGTGAAGATGGCTGCAGGTGACACACTCCTTCCCTGGTCTCCGCAGTTGCTGTTATTTTAATAAACAGCTCAGTTCCCTCAAGGGACAGTTCAGTTGCAGATGAAATTTACTCTCGTATAAGCACTAATATTTAAATTTTCAAATTATCATTGTTTGTGTCAGGTTTTGGCACGTGGGAATGGCACAATAGCAATCTACGAGCAAGCACACCCAGGGCCGGGCACAGTTCTGTGCCCCTGCTGTGTCACTGCGCATCCTGCCCCCACCCCACCCCATCCAGCGTTCGTCTTCTCCCTGGGCAGAGCCTGCTGCCCGGGGAGCCCCGGCCTCCGACCTGCCCACGCCCTCCCACGCGAGCCACCAGGCCACAGCCTCCACCCTTGCTCTGCCACTCCCACCGCAGGAGGACGTGGCTTCAGACGGAGCCCCGCAATAGAAGACCACCGAGTGACTTAGCTGTCGTTTTCAAGTATCCGAAATATCTTTAGGAAGAAAGACTACTGTCATCTGTGAACATTAGTCATCTTCTAAAAAAACTAGAGGGAATAGGCTTAAAATAAAATCAAGAATGTCAGAAGGAAGGTGGAGAAGGCAGAATGAGGAATGACGGCACAGGCTGGGGAGGGCGTTTGTGGCAGTCCATGTCCCATAGAGGTAAACTGGTGCGGCCCAGCTGGGAGCCTGGGAGCCCCCCCGAGCCCTCCCCCTGTCCTCCGTCAGCCACCAAGCTGTACCCACTGTCCTTATGCCCACTAGACTCCCAGTCCAGGAAGGAGCCCCACCTGCTCCGTGGCCTTCTCCCCGGTGCCTAAAACAGGCTGGCACGTTGTACCCTCAGCCCGTGTGGCTCGCACTCTGCTGCTGAACGCAACGCTTAGGACTCTGCCTTCTCCTTATCCCCTTCCTCGCTGTCTCTATTCAGACGTGGACCATCTCTAGCGTGGCTTCCAGTACTCCCCCCGCAGACCATGAGTGGGTTCTCTTTAAAATACAAGTACAGTCCTGCCCCTCCCCCCTCTAGGTCCCTCACTGACTCTTCTGGAATCTGGGCCCTCCTTCCCTTTGCAACCCCCTCCCCTGGGGTGTCTCACCCTCCCCTCCCCCACCTGCCTGCAATACCACGATGGCTCCCACCTCCACGCCTGTGTGCCTGCTGTGCCCCAGACCCCGCTCTGGAATTGTTCCCTGGGAGACTGCCCTACCCCAGCCTGTTGGATTCAGCACCCTGTCCTCAGTGTTGTCTGAGCACCTTGCTTTTATTACTCTCATAGTGCTGGCCATGCCATTCGTTCAGCTGTTGGCACATGTCTGGTGACACCAGGCACCTGCATTGGATGTCAGGAGGTGGCGGTGGGCAGGCAGCCAGAGCCCTGACCTTCTGGAGCTCCCGTTGGAGGCAGAGTACAAAAGCCAACACATAAACGAACATGAAACATCACTGCAGTGTAGTTGCCATTGTAGCCATTCCATGAAGGGTCACTCGGTACCTAATCACACGTGGCACTTACTGTCTGCTGTGTGCCCTTCTGTCAGCAATGGAGGCGAGTGAGCCCTTAACTCCCGCACCTTCCTCATCCTGGGCTGAGGACAGAGCAGCTTGGAGGCACCAGAGCTGGCTTTCAAGCCAGTCTCCAGGGCTCTTACCTGCCTGATGGGATGCTACCCATGCTGTGGTGACCCAGCAGTGACAAGATGGCACAAGTGCAGCCAGGGGTGCAGCGGCCAAGCAGCAGGGGAGTGCACCAGGTGGGGATGGGGCTGCCGGCACTTTCTCAGAGAAAGTGACTTCAGAGCAGGGACCTGAGGGATGCACAGGGGTAGCTAAACACAAAGGTTGGTGCAGAACGTTCCAGCCTGAGGGAATAGCCTGGGCGAAGGCCCAGCGGGAGGAGCAAACCTGGCAAACTGGAGAAGGGGACATTCGGAGGTATTGGAGAAGTCCTGGAGGCAGAGGGCAGGGAGGCCTTAAAGGTGTTGAGAAGCCTGGGCTCTGTCCCCGGAGCAGTCGGAAGCCAAGGGACTGTTGTAAACAAGGTGGGGACTTGATCTGAAATGAGGCAACTTCTGGCTGCTGCTGGAAAACAGCTGGGACAGGGACCAGAGTGGATGTGGAAGACCAGTCTGGCCATGTCGTTTCTCAGGCAACAGATGATGGTCTAGACCAGGGTGAAGCTGCGGAAGTGGGAGTGAAGGGAGAAGCCGTTGAAACACGACAAAGGAAACACGAGAATACGTAGAAGTGAACGGAGCGGAGAGAATTTGAGGGGGGCAGGCGGGCGGTTCAGGTGAGGGGGGATGGAGAGGAGCCAGGGATACCACCTGGGTGTTGGGTACGGGCAGGAAAGAGTGATGACATTGGGGACATGTGTGACTCTGGTCCCCAGGGGCACCCGAGTGGCAGTTGGAAGGTGGAGCCTGGGCTCATGAGAGCAATTTGGCTAAATATTCAAATGTAGAGATTCAGATCATGTTTGACACCGTGAGAATGGATGAACTTATTGAGGGAAACTGAGGAAGAGATAGAGACGTACCTGTCTCCTCTCTCTGCTGTGAGCTCCTGCCTACGCTCTCCAGTATGGTAGCCACTAGCCACATGTGGCTTTGTGGATTTCAATTACAATTAAACAAAACTAAAAATTCAGTTCCTGGTCACATTAGCCACGTTTCAGGTGCTCAGTAGCCATGTGGCTAGTGGCCCGTGTAACAGGCAGTGCAGAGTATAGACCATTTCCATTGTCACAAACAGTTTTGTTGGACTGCACTGTGTCTAGACTCTATCTTATATTTGTCTTGTATCCACAGTGCCCAGGCA